ATTTTCTCCATCTGGGCAGAAATCATGTGATAATTATCCATTCTGACAATTCTACAATGGTTGCTCATCTCAATCACCTGTTCTCAATCCCTCTGTATTCATAAGTTGGATCTTCTGTTTTGGACCCATATGCTAGATATTCATATTGCGGGTGCTTTCAATCTTGTTAAGGATTGGCTTTCTCGTCCAGACAAAATCTACCTGATGCAGTGGTATCTAGATCCTCTTGTTTTCCAGTGGCTTTGCCTTCCTCACATTGATGCTTTTGCCATGTTCCTTAGCCACAAATTACCTATGTTTTGGTCCCTGGTACTTCATCCTCTTGCTCAGGATGTTGATGCTTTCAGCCAGAATTGGACCAACAAATACCTATGTGTCTATCCTCCCAATCAACTTTTTCACCAGGTCATTTTGATCATCTATGCCACTCCGTGTCAAATCTTTCCGATTGTTTCTGATTAAAGCCATGGTTTCCTTGGCTTCTCCAGCTTCAACTTACCCCTCTGTTACTTCTTCCTCTGACTCCATCCCTTCTTCATCAACCTCAGTCACTGGTGCTTCATCCAGCCCTTCCTGTCCTCATTTTCATGCCTAGTTTTTATCTAGTCCTTGATGAGGAGATCCAGCTTGTACCAACAGGGTGCTTTTTATCTGTCTCATTTCATTTGCACTTCCTCCATGGAAGTTTATTAACGTAAATGGAACATTTTCTGCCACTTTGGGTCGAGTATGTTCTCCTGCTCAACCCACTGTTTCTCATATTGCAGATTTCTTCACTTGGCTTTTTGATCGGGAGTCTTCTGTCTCTTTGATCTCAGGTTATCGGGTGGCCTTGTCCCATACCTTTAATTTTTTCTGATACCATAGGGTCTTTACTTCTCCTATGCTTTGCCAATTGATGTGTTCCTTCCAAATGTGACGTCCGCCACAGTGGGATATTAATGTGGTCCTTCACTGCTTCACTTTGCCTCCTTTTGAATCACTCTCCATGTTCTCCTTGTTTCACCTTTCCCTTAAGACTTATTTCCTTCTTCTTTTAGCCTGTGGATGTTGGAGGTCTGATTTATTTGCCATTGGTGTTTCACATACTCTTTATCATCCTACATATCTTCTCTATTATACGGATTATTCTTTCATCCCCAAAACTTTGGCGGCACGTGAGGGTAACACCTCCTTTTCATCGATTTCCCTACATTCCATTTCCCAACTTAATACTCAGCTTGATCCGGATAGAATTCTATGCCCTGTATGTGCGCTTTCCTATTATATTGCTTGCACAGCTTCCTTCCATAGTGCCCATTTCTGCCTCTTTATTCCTTGGCAGCTGCCCTCTGTTCGTGAGCTTTCTCCTTCCACCCTCACCAATTGTGTTTGGCTTTTAAATCGATTGGCTTATTCCTCTTTATCACCTTCCTTCCATACTTTGTTCTTGGTGTCTTCACATCAAATTTTACATCCTACCATTTCATTGGCATCTCATCTTCATCATCCCTTGGCAGAAATTCTTCAATTCATCACTCAATATCTGCATAGGATCGAGGTTTCCTCCTCATTGGGCTGTTATATTCCTCCTGTAGCCATTCTTCAGACTTCAGTGAGACTTTGACTGGGTAAGTTATTTTTATTATTCTTGACTTACTTTTCAGGGGCCTTCTTCCCTTTTTATTATTACTCGTTGTTTGGATTCCATTCTGTGGTGAGTCATGCCTGACCAGGTATTTTTTTAACTGATCAAATCTGCGCTGTAAGGCCATGTCGATTACATGTTGTAATTCCTTTGCCACTCAATACACACTGTGGAGATGGGGTGTTCCGCATGATTGCTTGTAGATTTAACCTTGCAATGGAATTGCTTCATAAATTTTCCTGTCCTGGACTGTACTTACCCATGTAGTTCATGGGTAATGCAAGGGAGGATAGCTGTCCATCCCATCCCTTCCATGCCTTGTATTGAATAAATTGCTATGGTCTGCTTTTAAAAATAGGGTTTCATGGTCACCCATTGCACTGTCTCAGGTGTTGATGTTCCTCCGGACTCTCCACTGCATCCCCCCTTTTTTCTAGTGAAATTTGAGAGTTCTTACCACTTTCCAGTTTCAAGGCACTGGGGTGGTGGACTGTGGAGGCATCCTCCTGAATGGGTTAATGAAAGTCAAACAGAATATAAAAATTATTATAAAACCATTCAGGTGAGAGTTGGGTGGCGGTGTTTTGCTGGTGTAGATGACGTGATATCTTCCAATATGAAACAAAAACAAATTTTCACAGACGTGAAAATTGCAGCTCACTCCATTGATTGGGATCCGTCACCCTGCCCCAACACGGATGTTGGTTCCCTGTGGTTGGGTTTTGTATTAAGAGTTGAACCAATCAGCATAAGTCCTCATATATGTATTACAGAGGTTTATATTTCTCCTTCATATATACTCTTGTTACCCTATCAGTGTTGTAGTTAACGGTGGTGGTTCTTGCAGATTATTACAGTTCTTCCCCTTC